TCCAGAAATGCTTCCCCCGCCATGACATTCAGGAGCGCATTCTAAATTCCATTTTGGCGCCTCTCTCCCCTTCTCAGGTCTTCCCCACTGCCACTCACAGCCTCCTTTCTTGCATGTGTTCTGATTTGCAAGCCTGTTTTGGTCCATTCTTATATTAGCCACTGTTTTGGGGTATTGTTCATGCAGACGGTGTTCCAACTATCTGTTCTTGCAAGTTCTTTCACATAGCAAAATAGTCTTCTAAAATAAGAAGAAAAAAATAACTCTTTCCTAATTTGAAAAGAAGGAAATCACTTTATGTTTGTTACAGCATTATTTTAAATTAGTAAAGATTTTTAAAATGCCTAAATATGATTAGGGAAAGTATGATACGATACATTAACTTGATGGCATTTACTCAGGCATTGAAACTACAGATATGAAGACTGTGTACCTACTTGGGAAAACCAATACAAAATGGTACAACATTTGCCATATATGTATGTTAGGATTACAGCTTTTTAAAGAAAAACGCAAACATGGATTTAAAAAAATAGGATCATGGAGAAATTTAATTGCTATAACGATTGTTTTTTTCGCATAATGTCTTTATGTGAAATGGCTTTAGTGACAAAATGTATTTGTGATAAATAATGTTAACATTGTCATCATAAGGAGACTTACATCATTGATTTCAGTGCTCCCTTTTGTTTTCAGATTGTGTGGCTGAAGTCATTGACTGTCTAGCTGTAGATTTTCCATCCTTGTGTACCTGAGAGATTTGATGGGATGGTTTCCTAACCATTGCTGGAAGTCCACATTGTGTAACTGTGCAAAGCACACAATGACCTCCCACACCTGGTTTAGCTTTTATGGTAGTTCCCATGGCAGAGGAACTGGTCAGTGTTAGTCTTTAACATGTATGTATTCAGGGCCCCCTTTGTGCCAGGCACAGTGCTGCCTGTTGGAAACCAGTCAGACAAAATCCTAGACCTCAAGGAGTTTACAGACTACTTGAGGAGACCAAAGGAACAAGGCCACTGAGGAAGCATGATAGAAGCTTGATGGGAACCAGGAGGGTAATAGGAGAGGTGCCCATCAGGACTGAAGAAGTCCTTCCAGAGGCCACCTGAAGATGGTGTGGGGATGGAAGCGAGGTTCTCGGGCCGCATCAAGGAATGTGGACCCTCCCTGAGGGTAAAGGACAGCCACTGAAGGGCTGTTGTTGTTTGTTTATATTTCTCTTTTAGCAAGAGAAATGATATCCTCAGAATTGCACTTCAGAGTGTCTATACTTCCTTTGGAGAACAGTTTAGAGAGAAGGCTGAAGGTAGGGAACCAGTGAAAACGCTGTTGCAGTCCAGACACGCAGTGGACCCTGAGCTAGAATGACAATGCTGGCATGGGGAGGAGTAGACGGTTTCCAGAATGATTTGTGAGGCAAGATCAACAGAAATTGATAAGTGAGATGTGGAGGAAGCATTCAAAAAGGATACCCAACGGCCAGGCGCAGTGGCTCATGCCTGTAATCCCAGCACTTTGGGAGGCTCAGGTGGTAGATCACGAGGTCAAGAGATCGAGACCACCCTCGCCAACATGGTGAAACCCCATCTCTACTAAAAATACAAAAATTAGCTGGGCATGGTGATACACGCCTATAGTCCCAACTACTCGGGAGGCTGAGGCAGGAGAATTGCTTGAACCTAGGAGGCGGAGGTTGCAGTGAACCGAGATCGCGTCAGTGTACTCCAGCCTGGCGCCTGGCGACAGAGCAAGACTCTGCCTCAAAAAAAAAAAAAAAAAAAAAGATACCCAAGTCATTGGTTTAGGCAAACGGGCCGTAGACCTTGGTTCTTAGCCTATTTGTCCATATAACTGAACTGGGTACAGTTCAATCGTCTAGCAAGCTGGATGCACAGGGGGAGTTAGCCTTCAGGGAAAGAAGGCAAGGTGAGTTTGGGCCACATAAAGTATGACCCTCTGGGTGCAGGAGTGTGGTCGGCAGCTGGTTGTACAAGCCCGGAGCACAAGTCCAACTTAGCTGTTGGACTTTGAGATCAGTGTCTTGCTCTGTGTGTTGAGGACATGCTAGAGCTTCAATAGTAGATGTGTTTTCCTCTGAGAATTCTGTTGACAATTGTAGTCTTCAGGTGTCTGCGTGTTAGCAGCACAGCTGCAAGAGATAACTTTTCAATTGAAGGTTTACTATCTGTTGTACTCAGGGTGCACACAGCTCCTCTCTGTACATCCACTGCTAGTGCTGGGCTGTTAACGCAGTCCTTAGGGGCCTGGCCTGATTGCAGCATTATGACCTTATTGTTGTGATCCCTCTTGTGCTTATGTCATGTTTTAATATACAGTACAAGAAATGGGCATTTAGGAGCTACTTCTCAGCAAGAAATCCTAAGGCAAAGCCATTTACCCATTATAACATGTCTTGCTGGGAGGTAGAGAAAATAGAATTCCCTCCTGAATTTTTGAATATATACTTAACGTTTTTCTTAATGACAAAATCAGCTCCCTGAAAATCAACCCAGGATATGGCTATCCGGGCTTGAGAGAAAGTGTTTGTTTCCTGCTGGTTGGTGTATAGTATGTATGGGGTAGGATGTAGAAAAGAAGGGAATATTTGAGGCAAACTTTTTTTTTAATCTAGGCCTATGCTGATCACAGCACACTACATTTCTGAAGACTTGCTCATGGATCATGACCCACATGTTGAAAAATATTCATGAAAAGTACTCCTGGGATGGTTGGGGACAACTGTATCTCTTCCTTAACATTGAATGTATTTTAGAGTATATTACAAGGAATATTATGTGGTTGCACTTTAATTAATCCCCTGGGGGTACACCAAAACAATATTTGCAATCTAATACACATTTCATCCAATTTCCTAGATAGGTTCCTGAGAAAGCTGAACAAGGCTTTCAAAAGTTAAATACATTATGGGACCGGCAGCTTCATATCTATTTATCTGTCACTACTTCCCCTCCTATTTGAGTGGCTAATTGACCACTAACTATAGTGATCAAATTTGCATTTTCCTTGTCAAATGTGACACTCTGTGAATAGCTAAATTAACTTAGTCTTCCTGGAATATACCCAAATGTTAAGAATCATCTAGGACCTTTTAAAACCATTTGGTCTGTTAGTTCTGTCTTAAGATAAAGCAGAATAAATACATCCCTGAAATCAAAGGAAAACTAATTGTAGTACCTCTTTGCATCTTTGAGTCATCAAAGTTTGACCATCTCAAGTATGTTCTAATGGGGTTCATTATTTTTTTTTGTTCTACATTTGAGAATTCCAAGATAATTTTACATTTGCATTGTCAATATCCAGTTTTCGAAATTTGACATGTCTATTTATTTTCAAGAATCATAACTTATTAGCCTCTCTTTTCAAGGCACAAAAGCTATACATGGCCACCAGAACAAGTCAAACAACACAGAAGTATATCACGGAAGAGCTAACTCAGCCCCTTCTCCTCTTTTTCAAGCCTGTAATCCCAGCACTTTGGGAGGCCGAGGCGGGTGGATCACGAGGTCAAGAGATCGAGACCATCCTGGTCAACATGGTGAAACCCCGTCTCTACTAAAAATACAAAAAATTAGCTGGCCATGGTGGTGTGTGCCTGTAATCCCAGCTACTCAGGAGGCTGAGGCAGGAGAATTGCCTGAACCCAGGAGGCGGAGGTTGCGGTGAGCCGAGATCGCGCCATTGCACTCCAGCCTGGGTAACATGAGTGAAACTCCGTCTCAAAAAAAAAAAAAAAAAAAGTTTCTGTCTTCCTCCTTAACCAGCATTAACAATTTGGTGTTTATTCCTCAATACCAATCTAAGCTCATATAAAATATGCAAATGTTTATAAATGTGAACATTTTCATAAAAATGAGATCAGACTATGTACATTCTCTTCTTACCATTAAAAAAAAAAAAAATCAGCCAGGCATATTGGCTCACTCTTATAATCCCAGCACTTTGGGAGGACAAGGCAGGAGGATCGCCTGAGCCCAGGAGTTCAAGACCAGCCTGGACAACATAGGGAGACACTTGTCTCTACAAAAACTACATAACTCACACCTGTAGTCCCAGATGCTTGGGAGGTTGAGGCAGGATCTCTTGAGCCTGGGAAGTTGAAGCTGCAGTGAGCCGTGATTGCCCCGTTGCACTCCAGCCTGGGTGACAGAGAAACACTCTGTCTCCAAAAAAAAAAAAAAAAAAAAGTTCTTTAACTGTATGTCGTGAGGTTTTTCTCCAAGGTCTCCAATAGCCCCTTCTTTTTCACAGCTGCAAAGTATGGATATATTGATGTATTTATTCACTCCCCTGTAGATGGACATTAGCGTGTTTGTTTAGTTTTTGTCATTACAATGCTATGATAAATATCTTTGTAAATATATCTTTAGTAAATCATTAGAGATGATTTACTAGTGCTTGTTAGGAGCCAAACAATGCAGGTGATCCATTCTAGCAATGTAGGTATGATTCACTGTGACTCTAAGTGGGTTGGATTTTGTTAGCTGAGTCCCTTCAGCAAGGAGCCAGGAAGAAGACAGGTCAGGAACATGGATTCAGGCCTTTTTTATAGGATATTTCTCTGTCTACACACACCTACATTGGGCCTTTGCTCTCTCAGTGTCCTAAATCTCTCTTAACATTGGGTCTAGGACTTTTTAAAGCAGTTTTCTGACTTTTTTACTTCACCATGGTAGTGATATATCTCACTTTAGACACATTTCTGTAGTTCTCAAGCATGAGTTCCAATTCTTTTGGCTTTGGTTCATCTTGATCTACCCAGTGTTACCCTCCACGTTCATTTCCCCTTTGCGTTGCTGTTGCAGTAATTTAGAAAGGTCTTGGAGTTGGTGATGCAGTTATCAGAGTGGTGTGGTGGGCTGTAAATCCCTGCAGTTGGAACTTTGCTGAGTTACACACATCAAGTGTATTCAGGGTTACGGTGCTGTTTTAGCTATTTTGGGTTTGAAATGCTAAATAAGATTTCGAGACATATGTTGTAGGTCACTTTGATTTCATTCATTCAGTTAACTACTAGTACACTCTACTAGCTACTAGGAATAGAATATACTGAGCAACAAAATGGAAATAAAGTTTGTCCTCAGGGAATTTATGTCTAGGTTAAAGAGAGACTCTGCAAAGAAAAATACAATTTGATAAATGGAATGCTCATGTTATTAGATAGAATTCAGTCATGCACATGATTACATTGATTGGGGGAGAATAGAAGTTTAGTGGTGCTGTGATCCAAAGCCTTATGGGATTTCAAAAAAAAAAAATTCTTCACAGTGACCTTATGTTTATCTGGAAGAATAAACAAATAACTAAAATATTATTTTTAAAAAAACAAAGGGGGGAGATATTATACTATGTGACATTAAACATTATAATACTGTCATTTAGAGTAACATAAAGAAGATGAGTCTATAATTATTCAGTAGTACTAGGACAAATATTACATGAAAAGAACAAAGTTGATTTTAAATTCATGTACGCCATGAAATTCCAGATGAATAAAAGGTTTAAAAAATGACCACATAGAAGAAAACCACACTGAAGAAAATGTAGGTAGCTATCATATCTGAGTGGAGTGGAGGAGGTCTTTCTTAAAAAAAAAAAAAAAAAAAAAAAAAAAATCTGTTAAGGAAAAGGTTTATGGAAGCAATGTAAAAATATGAAACATACAGATGTCATAAAATGCTCTATAAATTAAAAGACAAACAGCTCACTGGGAAAGAGTATTTGCAATATATTTGGTGAAAGGTTAATATCTGTGATATACATCAAACGCTAAACAATCAACATCCTGTCAAAACAGGCAAAGAACATAAACAGGCAATTAAAAAACAAATTCATGTGTCCAGTAGATTTATGACAAAAAGTTTATTCTCAAATAAGAAAACAAAGACTAGTATTTTGGAATCAAATTGGCAGAAAAAATATATATAAATGATATATCTACAGTTGTTAGGAGTAAAGTGAAATAGATACAGATGGGAGAAATAGATATCGCAGTAGCTTTTGGTAGAAGGCAATTTCACATTCAAAAGCCTTGGCCAGATAATTCCCTTTCTAGGAATTTGTTCTAAGTTTCGTCATTGTAGCAATATACAAGGAAAATTGGTTACACATTCAATAATTGGTTGTTCGCTAAGTTATGGTACACACAGCACATAGGTAATTGTATTAAGACGGACAGATGGACATGGGTGGAATCTTTTTTGTCACCTGGTTTGTTCTGTGTTATGTCAATGTGTATAATAGATGAGGAAAGAACAACATTTTACATTTACCTCCCCACAGCCTTTTTAGTCAAACGAGGTTACTTAGAAGAAGAGATATGCATGGCAGAGTAGAGTTTTCAGCTATAAAGCTATAGGAAATGGCAACTTGAGGCTGACCAAGGATAGTGAGAAGGGAAGATGAGGCTTGTTCTGTATGCAAATGAATTGCTAAAGCAGCTGAATAGCCGTTCTAACCTCCAAAATTTTGCCTAGGCTGTTAAGTAACCTTAAAGAGGTGAGAGTTTCATGCCTGAGACCCTCAGACAGACAGAAACATTGCTGTTGCCTCTGAATTCTGTCTTAAGTGATCCAGTGAGACTTGATCAATATTAAGTCAGGTGTCTGGATTGTGTGAGCTGAATTATGTCTATTGGGTATGAACTCCCCATTGGTATGTGTCTCTTTTCTCTTCCAGTCCTAGAGTTAGAGAAAAAGGTCCTACCTGTTCTCATACAGAATCCTTCCCCTAAATAATGGTTATTTTTTCCCCCAGAGCTCCCATAGTACCCGAAGTCAGTCAACATTTGGATAGCTTTCCATTTTACTTATTCTCTGTCAAAACATTACACTGATGGCTTGCTGAGAACCATGGGAGATGGATCATGAGGGCAGCAAGGGAGAGCCTTCTTTATGTAGGGACTCATGTAATAGAGTCAGTTACTGATGAGTTCCAGGACTTGCTGGTGTGACAAGCAGATATCACTGAAGCTCTTTGGGACCAGGCACAGTGGCTCATGGACATAATCTCAGCACTTAGGAGGTTGAGGTGGGTGGATTGCTTGAGACCAGGAGTTCCAAGACCAGCCTAGGCAACATGGTGAAATCCTGTCTCTATTAAAAATACAAAAATGAGCCAGATGTAATAGTGCATGCCTGTAGTCCCAGCTACTTGGGAGGCTGAGGCACCAGAATCACTTGAACCCGGAAGGCAGAGGTTGCAGTGAGCCAAGTCATGCCACTGTGCTCTAGCCTAGGTGACAGAATAACACTCTGTCTCAAAAATTAAAAAATAAATAAGAAGTTTCCACCTTCTGCTTGTCTCTGTGCATTTTTGCCCTTGTTAGCTAATTGTCAGACTGAAGCTTAATACATTTTGGGTTAAAGATGCAAATTCAGTGGCACCTGAGTGATGAAACATCTCTATTTTCTGTGCCTCCTCCTTTAGTCTTTAGGTTCAAGAGAATGGCTGCCTGTCTGTTGGGAAATTATCTTGTACCATGCTGCAGTAATGTTCTGCTAAACTTGATTCAAGTGTTTCCTTGTGGATGTAGGCAGTTGTGATCAGAAGTTTTGTGCGGAGGGCAGATACCTGAGTGAACTGCCAGGATATGGTCAAATGCCTTGGACAAACAGAAATGGTTCAGGAGAGCATCCAACATATTTGAAGCCAAAGCTTTGGGGATGCACATACCTGGTGCTTCCACAGAGTCTCAGTTCAGGATGCAGAACACTCAGTGTGGGAGCCAAACACCCACTCTTCAGCTTAAAGGTATTGCCAGCCATCTGGCAATATTTGGATCTGACTCTCAGATTTCAAGTCTTGTCCCTAGAGATAAGTATTCCTAAGGTCTCCCTTCTGGGAGCAAACCATGTGAGTTGCTTGCTTATGCTATAACTACTGACCCCATCACGAAGAGTCTATAACTTCTTGTCACATTTTATAAACAGAGGCAAACATAATAAAGTATGTTAGAGATGAATTTTAAGGACACCAGTAAGGAGAGTTATATATAAGTCAGTAAATATCACCTTGAACTGTAACATTTTTATAGTGCTTTTATAGTGCTAACAAATAACACTTATAGGAATGCCTATGGCCCCCAGTGTCCCTAAGAAGTGGGTAGGGTAAATATTAGCTTCCCCCAAGCAGATGGGGTATGTATGGGTGTGTATAGCAGAGGCTGGGACCTGTGGTACTTTAGTGACAGGCACAGACACAAAAAAGCAGCCAAGCTTCCCAGCATTCATGCAGTTGTGGTTTATCAGAAATTTTTAGAAATGTCCCTTCTTGCCTAAGAAGGTAGGAATGTGGTATGTGGTATATTGCCCAATTCTATAAGGGAGGGATGATTCTGCCATGGATTAGAAGTAAAGTCCAGTTAACACCCTATGGCTCCATCTGTCCTTGTTTAAAAGAAGTAGATGCTATAAAGAAGAAAAAAATTTAGATTAAGACACTACATCAATTACTTCTTTCTGTGAAGACCAGACTTGGCAATAACTTTGTGCCTAAAAATACTCATTTGTGCATCTTACTAAAAATCCCTAAGTATTCTGTATTGGAGTTTAGATGTGTGGGATATATCCATGTAATTCTATCATAGTACCTGTAGCTGAGGTATCATGTACTTGACATCCCCAGAAGAAAGCACTTTATTTAAGCATTGTGAAGTTGAGCAATGCATAAAAGCTGGAGTAGAATAAAAATGTTGTCATTTATGCCCATCTCCCAAACAGTGCACTTTAACTTTGCTGGCCAGTCTTTAAATTGCCTCTTGCTGCCTGAATAGCTACTATTGAAGAAATGAGGCAGTTTGTTTTCTAGACAGCCCTCTGATTGTTCTCTATAAACACTCACACAGAGTTTCTGGTTGCAGAGCTTTCTATTCTTCTCCTGGGTCATCCTAAGCAGTTCAAAAGGTGACTGCGCATGGGGAAGAGGTCAAGTCAATGCATTTTAAGAAACCTACCCTTGTGTGTCTCCCCAAGGCCAGAATGTAACCTTCATAGAGCTTCTGAATTTGTACATTAACCCCCTTGGCACCGCACCTGAGCAGTTTGACTGGGTCTTAATGAGAAAACACTTTTTAAAGAATAACCTCTACTTGTTTCTCAGGCCACACCTCATCTCCACCCAATTATCTAAACATCAGCATTCCTCCGTGTGCTTGGCCTTGCTGGTCCATGCTGGTCATATGGGCTGTGGGGTGGCATTACAGGAGACTGCAAGATTATGGCTTTGACACATTTGGGTGCAGGAAGGGTCCTGCAGAGGGATGTCTTTCAAAAAGAGTTTTTAAAAAACCTATAATGCTAATTTACCAGTTATCTTTATTTTCCTTTCTCCTTCTGGGTTTCTTGGTTTCCTTTAGAGTTAATGACTGTCTCCATGTATACAGCCTATCGATTCTATATCGTCTTCCCCCTGCTCTTTGGGTTCTTTTCCCCTTTTTCTCGTCCCATCTTACTCATAAGCAGCAAGAGCAATGCAAATCAGCGTTTCTGCTTTCTCTCTTCGTAGGACAGAGGGCAGGGAGTCTGGGACGGTGGGAGTTTCAAGATTCTTTAAGAAAGGCATTTAGGCTGGTCCAGGGTTAGGGATTAGGGAAGGGGATGCACAGAGGGCTTGTTTTAAAGCTGTTTGCTTAGTCAGCACAATCTTTACATCCACCGATTGTGTCTGTTGGATGCCTGCAAGAGAGTTGGTGGATATCGGGGGGGGGCTGATGCCTGCCTAAGCTATTGCTTGCTACTGGTCAAGCCTGAATTTAGAGGGTCTTTGCTTTATAGACTTTAAGGGTAAAATACAATTCGCCTTGTGGACTGGTCTGTTGCCCCTGCCCCATTCTCTGCTGCCCACCTCAGATCTGTCCCCTTTGTTTTCCCCCAACCCTACCCATTAGGAGGGCCTAATTTAAAAACACACACATAGCAAAAAAGCACAGTTGCTGTGGCCTGCACTCACTATTCAAACTTCGAGATTCAGAATTCTGTAAACCACAAAGGTTTTGTGCCTGTGGTATGTTCTGGAATTTGAACTGACCGTAGAAAGAGTCTGCTTTGTATTATTCTTTCATAGCATAGATTCATCATTCTGTGTACTCTAATAATGTATTTCTATGGAAATCATTTACCTTATGCAGCACAGCTAATCTTTTCTTAATCAAATTTTTAATAAAAAGTACGTGACAATCCTCCATAAATACAATGGGGGAAAGAAGTGCAAGTATATTTTTTCAGAAGGTTTCAGAGAACTGAATCATGTAAAGCACTAGTCTGAATGGATATGAAGGTACTCTTAACATCTGGCATTTATCTGGAAAAGGACACATTTTCATCAAAATTTTAATATTCTACATGTAAGTTAAGAATTCTTTATGGCTCTCTGGTTGCCATGTTTCTGCAAGCATGTACAGTATCTATAAACCTCCAAATAGGCTTGTTGTGGCCTGCCCTTGGTTTAATATTGCACTACGTATATGAGAAAATTCCGCATAACTTTGTTGCTTCCTAAGGATACTCAAAGGCTGTGTATTTCCCTAGGAAATGATCTGCTATGTTTGCACTTTTTCTTCATGAACATAAAACTGTTTTTTCCCAAAACTGTGATGCCTGAAATGAGGTAGGTTTGATGTTAATGTTTAAAATCGGCTGGGCGCCGTGACTCATGCCTGTAGTCCCAGCACTTGGAGAGGCTGAGATGGGCGGATCACGAGGTCAGGAAATAGAGACCATCCTGGCTAACACAGTGAAACCCCATCTCTACTAAAAATACAAAAAATTGGCCGGGCGTGGTAGCGCACGCCTGTAGTCCCAGCTACTCAGGAGGCTGAGCCAGGAGAAACGCTTGAACCTGGGAGGCTGAGATTGCAGTGAGCCGAGATTGCACCACTGCACTCCAGCCTGGGCAACAGAGCAAGACCCTGTCTCAAAAAAAATAAATGGTTATTGAAAGGGGAAGGTGGTGGTTGTAGGTCATGATTCTCTGCCCCAGAAAAAAATTGTTTTAAGAGTCTAAAGAGTTTAAATCTGTTGAAGTTAAAACTTAAAGTGGTGATTCTCTTTCCACTTTTCACTCTAGCCTGTTATTTTGGGGATGAGGAAGTTCTTCCTTTATGTATCAATCACTTTAAATAAATATCTAGCTCTGTTTAAGTCATTTTTCTGGGTAGCCCTCAGCCCTGCAGGTGTGTAAATGCCATAGCTCTCAGCCCAAAGCACATCAGGGACTGAACTGCACAAATTTCATACTTCTGTAAATGTTGCTCTGAGTCACAATTGTCAGAATTTGAGAAAATACAATAAAAAGCTAGCTTTGAGGTTCCTGTTCTTCCTTTGGAATAACCACTGTTTTTCTTTGCCACATGAAAAGAAATGCCCTCCATAATTGTTTCCTGTGTGTTAACTCACCTTTTTTGCCCCAGTGCATCTATTGGTGTAAAATGAGAGAATCATCAGACTGGAATGAATCTCGAGAGGCTGCCGACCAAACTCCAAGGCAGGGCTGCACCCACATTATCCCAGAAAGATGAGACTCACCCCTGTCTGGAAAGGTTTTCCGGGAGAGTAATTCCACAACCATCACTGTACCTTGTAAGACATAACAAGCTTCACTGTCAGGAAAGACATTTACAGCAAGCCTGAATCCCTCATGCTGAAATGTAAACCCATTATCCCTTGCTGCATACCCTGGTGAGTCTCTGCAGTCTAAGAGTTCATCATATGCTTGGCAGCTAGTGCTAATTTGCCTTCATCCCCCTCAACTCTGAGCTAAATCATCCTATTTCAAATTTGTGATATTCTTCTGAGAGCCCAAAAGTAAGCTTTTTTTCTTTTTCTTTTTCTTTTCTTTTTTTTTTTTAAATAAATGATGCCCTGTGTCGTGGGTAATGGGAATGTTACATGTTACATGTTCGGATCTTACAGTCCTGCGTAACCATCTCAGAGTGATGTTTGCATTTAAACCGTGTTATTACCCACGCTGTTCCATGATGAGCATTTACAGAATTTTGACCTCACAGGGTAACTCATGTGGGGTTCTGAGGAAACGCCCTCTGAATAACAGGCAAAAGCTTGCTCAACATTTTTTCCACCACTGTACTTGGTCCCGTGCCTAATGATGGTCAGTGTAAACTTGTTTAGCAGTGAGGCTTAGCTTTAAAAGTTTGGGTAAATTTTAGTTTTTGTACTGTTAAAGTGACAGCATTTCTAGTCACTGCCAGACTTAGACTTTCCTTTGATATTTTTATCTAGGTTGGAAATGTGTCATTCCTAAACAGCCTAGGAGTCTTTCATAGTTTCTTTGCTCACTGCCTTCTGCTTTCAGGAAACAAAATAAGGCAGCTTTAGGGAATTTTTCTGTTTGCCTTCTAGTGCTATGCCTACAAGGAGGTGGGGGAATGGTAGACATGACAAGAAAAACAAGGATTAGATGTCACTTCTTTTGTTGTGGCATGTTTGAAGTAATGATTAGGCTGGGCTTCATGAGCTTGGGAAAATATGCAGCCCTCACTCCTGCCCCCCCCACCTCCCTTAATAAGCACAAGAGAAATTTAGTTTGCAAATGAATGTATGTATGTGATGGGGGCAGAAAGCAATGTCATTCCCAAAAATGTGTGATGATGTGATGAAAGAAGCCTTACTTCTAGGAAGCAGTGTGCTCTTTGTGATTACCCAAAAGCTCCCTACCTCCCTCAGCAACCAAGCTGTTTCTATTACCATTAGGTCTGGAACGTAATATGGACTTATTGGGTGGTTACAGGTTGGAAGACCATGCCATTGGGTTGGGGGCGCCTACCACGTAGAGAAAGTCAGAAACAACCAATAAACGTAAATCCCCAAAGGAACTTTTCTTTTATCAACCCATCCCTGTGCCCTCCTCTTTATTCTTCCCTGCTTTCTCTTTGAGGGTGTCACAGAGTCCCGGTAATGGCAGAAGGGTGGAGAGTGCTGATTTGTAGGAGACCTTGCATTGTTCTTAGCTATCCCATCTGCAGTCAGTAATGCCACTACCCCTGACATACTTTATTAAATTCAGAATTCACTCATGAAATGAAGGGGGCAAAAAAGGAATAAGTCAGTTTGTAAGGGAGAGAACTGGCAAGACAATATGTGATAAAATGTTGGTGTTTCTTGTAGGTAGGGAGAGAAACAGGGAAGCTTTTTATATTAAGATAATGCCGAGCTGTTACATACCTGTCTGAATTACTAGTATGCTGTGGTTTCTAGAGACAAAGTGGGAGGACAGGCTGCTTTTGAGGGAGAAGCAGCTCCTCGCAGGAAAAGAGCTGGAATGCTGTCAAGCTAGACTCAAACCACCGGGTTTCATTCTGGTCTGTGGTTGACATGCATTGTGTTGGAGCTTTTATCTGCAATTCTGACATCTTTGATTTGGCAAGGGATTGCAAAACACTCACAGGCCCTGGCCAGGCTAGTGCTGGCAGATGGGGTGGGGTGCAAGAGGTGCACCAGCTTTGGTAGATGCATGGCTTACTTGCAGCAACAAGGCCTTTTTGGGTAGAACAGTGCCTTTTTGACTACAGAGTTCAGGCTGCCCTTTACCTGTACAGGGGAGCTTCTTCCCTCTGGTGCTGGGCACTGTCAAAGCAAGTGTGGGGATCCCACTGAAACTTCCTCTCATACCAGTGGCCTTTCCAATTTGAGCAGCACTGCTAGAAACCATCTGGTGCTGAGCACCATCCAAGTCTGCAGTCTTGACTCCTCAGGCTCTCTGCCTTAGCCCACACCAGATATGTGATCTCAAAATGTGTGACCCTGGATACTCATCTTAAATGTGACAGGTCAGCTTGGAAGTTTGTGGTTTCAAGTACTAGAAAACTGACTGTGCCTCAGTTTCCTTATCTGTGAAATGAGGTCATTGTAGCACCTATCTCGGTTTACTGTGAGAATTTTATGAAAACTCTTGTAAACTGATTGGCACATAGGAAATGTGCTAGGCAGAATTCATATAGAGTGTTGTGCTTAGTCCTGGCTACCATTTACCAAAAGGAAAATCGACATGCTAGGGGCTCGTGGATGATCAAGGATTGTTCCCGAGGTTTGATGATTTAGAAATGATGGTATTGATAGAATGAATTATTTGGAGAGCTTGGAGTATAGAAGAGAGTTAATTTTATCCTACTTATGGAACTAGACCAATGGGACAAGTTACAAAGAGGCAATTTCAGAGTTGCTATGTAAGGTAACATTTTCAAATGCCAGTAGCTGTCCAACAGTGAACAGACTTGGCTATCTGAGGAGTAGTCAGCTTTTTATCACATAGACATAGTGACCACCTGCAGGTAACACTGTAGATGGGGTTCTGGCACTGGCTGGACTATTGGGTAAGAGGACAGTTAATTATCTTTTCAACTCCTAGATTTGAAAAATTCTTGGTTTATCTCTCTGAATACACTGGGAGCTTGTTGAGAGCAAGGACTACCTAATTATTTGTATTCTTCATAAGACTTTGGAAATTGGCCCAAGAAAACACTTAAAAATTATATAATTCTAATGTATGTTTATTACAGAAAAAATACAATAAACCTAAGAAAGAAAATCATCTGTAATCTCACTACAAAGAGACAACCTGGGGATGCCGTTCATATTTTGGTACACATATTTCTGGGCTTCTTTCTTGTTAGATATTGTGGCCAAAAATAGTACCATTAAAAATTGTTTTTGCTTAAACTATTTTAAGTGTAGCTACACGTTCAAAAATGTCTGACAGATATTTGCAGGTGATACCATCTCATGGTGGTGGAAAGAGGTAAGGATAATGTTTCTTTATCTGTATTATCTAATTTGCTAACTTTACCCCTTCAACAAATACTGTATGAAATTCTACCATGTGCCAGCCACAGTTCATCTTGTTCATGAGCTATTTCCCCAGCCTCTTGACATCCCTGCCTTCTTGGAACTCATAATGTTATGGGGCCAGTGAGTCAGTGAAAAAAAATGTTACAATATGATGTCAGGTCATAGTAAGGGTTATGAAAAAGAGGAGGAGGGAGATTGAGAGTGGATGGGGGAGAATGAATGGTCTGTGGGGGACAATTGGAAACCAGCGGGAAAGAATTTAGGAAATAAGTCATACATGTGGGAAATAATGATTGCCAAATTAATTATATGTTTCTCTATTCTGTTGACAACTTAGTATTCTATGCCTGTGACACAATTTATTCAAAAACTTTTTAAATCATTTTCTATCATGAATAGATTATCTTTGCATATGTCCTTGCTTAAAATAACTTAATTGGTCCTCTCTTATGTACTATTGAGATGCATTTTTATGGAAATTGATTTTGGGGTCACTATGTATGTCCCACTTGGTTCTCTACTGTCTCTTCCCTGAATGATAGGAGGACCCAGGAGGTGGATGGTGCAGAGTGGGCCTGAGGCTACTCCAGTTTCCAGGCTTTTTAGGATGAATGTGTTTGCCTGCTTACCTGCTGGCCCAGCCTAGGTGCAGGGAGCAGCTGATTCAATTACACATGTTGAAAGGCAGAGTCTAGATTACTATGATTAATATGATCTAGGCTCCAATGTCATGAATTGTTCTGATTGCTTAATCAGGACTTGTGAAAATGAGATAGGATAGTAATGTACCACAGTTTTCAAAGCCCAATTTTATTTTGACACTTTTCAGCAGGCACTTGGGGTGGCATATGATGATTGTGGTCAGTAAGGTGGCAGTGGATCGGGGCACCGTGGTTGTAGCTTGTAATCCCAGCACTTTGGGAGGCTGAGGTGGGAGAGTCACCCAGGAGTTCGAGAGCAGCCTGGGCAACATGGTGTTTTGTTCCTATCTCTACAAGAACAAAATCAGTTGGATGTGGTGTTGCAGGACTGTGATCCCAGCTACTCGAGAGGCCGAGGTAGGAAGATTACCTGAGCCTGGGAGGTCGAGGCTGTAGTGAGTTGTGTTCTTGCCACTGCATTCTAGCCTGGGTGACAGAGTGAGACCCTGCCTCAGGGGGAAAAAAAAAAAAAAAAAGATTGCAGTTATCACTGTGGCTAACACTCTGCCAGCTGACGTTGTGGTTAAGTGATTTGCCTGCAGTATTTCATCTAACCTTCTCAACTCAGAATGAATGGGTGTTGTTCCCATTTTAAAGATGAGTAGACTGCGGCTTAGAAAAGTTAAATGAGTTACCCAAGGCTGAACTAATACTCAAGTCCAGGGTATTTTGGTTTTGCTTTGTGACAAAGCCTAGGTCCTTAACCATTAAACTGTTTTTCCCTGTTGTTTTCTTTCTGTCGAGTCTCTTTCCTATTTTCTTGCTTTCCTGGGAACAAAGTGATCTGGGTTAGGACTACTGTTGGCTGGGTTAGAGTGATTTGGAAAGGAGAGAAGATTCAGACCTAAAAGCTTTTCCTTCTTTCTATCAAACACACTGTTCTCTGAAGCAGTCAGCGGGGCACATAAGAGAGGGAACACTATGCAGATTTGAAATGTGTCTCCTCTCTCCTCTCCTGGTGCCTTGGATTAGATGTACCAGCAAGCGGTAAATGGCCCATCCGTCAGCAGCCCTGTGGTGAGGCAAGACAAGTCAGGGCCTGCCTGGGCCTTCCCTGAAACGGGGCATGCC